ACCACTAATTTTCTGCAACTCCCACATCCCGAGAACTATTTAACTATTTTACTTCTGGTGAACAGGGATCAACACATGATCCCACATTAGCATCACAAAAAGGGGTTACTGTCTTGGCTAAGGTCAGAAGTTATGAGACAACAATATCCCTTTTATCCCTGCATTAATATTGACTATTCTTTCTATCTCTGAAGTAGACACATCTCTCTTCTTAACTTTATTTGCTCCAAAACACTTGTTAAATCAATTTATCAGATGTTAAAATATGTAAGGCCAGCTTTTGTTGTGGCTGTCCCCTGAGAACTCTGGCTGAATAAACACTGGAGCTGAAGTCAAAGCAGAAAAGCCCCCTGGGCAGGTCCATGTCTTCGGCTTTGTACAGAGGCTGTGTAACCTCAGTAGATCTTCAAAGCTTCCTAAGCTCTTCTAGCCTGTCTTCAGCCACCAGCACTGTTCTCGGCCAGCTGGACACAAAGATCACTTAACTTTATTTAGGCTGCTTTTATACTTATGTTAAAATGTGGAGCCACGTTTAAGTAAGAAACCCAGATTCTTGGGGTTTTTATAATCTTCTTTTCTGCCTCAAAAAGTACAGAACAGAAATGCAAAAGGTGTGTGGAGAGGACTGTTCATCACTTCTAAATTTGCTTATTCTTTATATTGGAGTTTGTGTAAATGGCCTCTGCCATATTTGTCAAAACTTTGTGCCAATTATATTAAATGCAACAATGATATAGTAAAGTCTGACAGAAGGAAATTATTTCTCCTGCTCTTTTCTGTCCAGAGTATTTACAATAACCACAAACTTAATTTTACAGCTCTATTATACCGAGTAGCCCCAGCTTGCCAGGAATAGACAGGAGTCAGCAGGTTTTTAAAACAGTTTACCTCTGGGCTGCAAACTGATAGTAAAGTTTAGTAACAGTTTAGTATCGAGAAGTCATTTGAGATGCAGGTTTGGTGGGCAAAAAAAAAAAAGAGAAAAAGGAAAGGTAGGCATATACTCACCAATTTGACCCTCTGTCCAGGAGTGGCACTGATTTCCCACGTGCACTCCTTTCTGCTGGGATACTTGTCAGGCCAGTTGGGACTCGTGATGATGCCGTTGGGACTGTGGATCTTCTGTTCACACTCAGCTGTGCCAACAGTGATAGCATCAGTTAGTCTGGGGGTCTGCATTCAGAGGTAGCCAGAAAAGCACTCTGTTTTTGTCAGGGGACCCACTGAATGGAAAGGATCTTTAGGGAGACAGCTAAGAACACCCTTCAGTGTGCATGTTCGTTTTCTTCCCCTTTGGCAAACACCTTATAGCAATTAAGCCACCACGTTTGTTCATTGATTGTTGTGAAACATACACTGTTGTTTACAATGGATGACTTTAAAAAAGAAGTATTACAAAGGAATGTACATAAGTATTAAAATTTAATTAAATATTTGGTATTCCCCACATTCTACATACAAATAAGTATGAAAATCCATATGAGAAATCTTACTACTCCAACTTCCAATTATATTTCTTGAACATTTTCTTTTTGTCTCTATTCGCTAATTTTCATACTGCAGCTACAGAGCAATCATTCTGATTTCTAAACCACAGTTTCTAGGGACACATAAACAACTAAAGAACAGCTAAGACTTAACTGTATGTACCAAGAACAGCTTAGTCATTGACATTGTAACTGAATTACTAGAAGTGCATATCTGTGAATAAATGCAAAGAACTAAAAGGTGGTAAGAAAGAAACCAGTTTTATTTTTGTATTTAGATTTTTTAACAAACTCAAATTGCTTTATAAATATTAGAGAATTATTCAGCAAGAATCTTGTAGAGTAGGGAAGTACCATTCCAACACCAGTGAAAAGGCAAGTGATTCACAAAGGGCACATCTTTACTCGCAAATTAAATTCATGCTAGAATACAACCTTGAGAAACTGCAGTAGCTCATATGATATTGTGTGTTTGAGGTTTATTTGCAGATAATCTAAATTCTACTTAAGCCTCAAAGCCCACTGTTTTCTTGGAGGTAGCCACACCTTGAGACAGGAAATAGAAGAAAGATGCATAGAGACTTGACTGGAATTTAGATTGTCTGAATTTGTCCCCTAAAATAAACCCAGAAAAGGCATGCACAGTTTCAACCTGACTGCAAGGAAACTAACTGCTTCTGATAGGAAAAAATGACAACTTTAACAGGCTTCTCTCTATCCCTGTGTTTAATACAGGATTAGATAAATACTCCAGCACAGCTTTAAATGTTCTACACTTCACAGCCCTATTAAAAGTAGCACTCCCTGCTGATGTTCCCTAGTTTTCCAAACTGCATTCCTGTGGACCTCAAACTCGGCCACACACAAATGCTGGGGATGGAGGAGATGAGGAAGGGGGTGTGGGGGAGTGTTTAAGGCCAAATGTCTAAGCCCCCATTGCCAAGATCTTTTTTTTTCCCTTCTTTTCTTTGGAAGAAGAGCTGCAGAGAGCTTTCAGCAAGACAGTTGTATAATCAACCATTCAAACACCTTACTACTTACCCTCCTTACAGTCATGTTTGTTTTCATGTAACACAAATCCATTTCGGCACTGGCAAACATAGCTTCCCACTGTGTTGATGCACTCGTGCTGGCAGCCACCATTGTCCTTCGAACACTCATCCTTGTCTAAGAAATATGCAACAAGGTCAGGTGAGCATTACAGCTAGCATTAGTCCTTGTTACTCAAAATAAAAAAGTTTTGCACAGTGTTTGAGTCCAGAAAAGGATAATCTAAGGCACCGTCACTCTTCTCAGTGTGGTAGTTTTGTGGTACCTTACTTCTAGCCACTCATTGCTCAGCTACAACCTTGCACCATGGCACAAAGAGTCTGTCTCATCTTTCAAGAAAATGAGGGGTAGTTCCTAGGGGAGAGGAACACCAGTAAAACAAACAAGCTAAATCAAAGGAGATAAGACAGTTACCAGCATTTACTCTTTCAAGTGGTCTAGCTGGTGAAAGTTTCATAAATATCTCATCTGAAGCTTTATTTCAGTAAACAACAGGAGTATAATTTATTGACAACGCAAAGTAGTCAACTTTACGCAAATTCCACAATTTAATGTGGTATGTTGAAAGGAACATGTAGGCCAAACAAGGTTTCAAACTATGCACATCAAACATGTAAGAAAATAAGGATTTAACATAAACTTTTTAATAAGTTTATTTTTTTTCCCCCGGCAGAGTGATAGTGTGCTTTATGTCTAACAAATCTGGACATTACAGAACATCACAAAAAGAAAAACATTTCATTGAAAAACATACAAAAGGAACTGGCATTAGTTATTTCCTGGAGATCTACAATATAGCATGCAGTTCTGTACAGTCCTTCAGAAGAGCTTTTAGCGTGTTAGAAGTAAAGCACAGAGTATGGAAGGAAATATGACCTGCATTAAACAGCTACAAATTCATTGCACAGCAAAAAGCCAAACTAGATTAACATGCTGTCATTCTAGCAAAAGGCCTCAGCTGCCACTCTTCTATGTCATTCAGCTGTTGTCATTTTAGGTGAGGCTAGTCCATTTAAAAGAGGCAGACTGATCCTGACATATACATACATATACACACATACATGTATATATGAATGCACATGTATATACCTATATATATGTATAGATACATATAAATACTGACATATAAAAATATATTGCTATATAAATACATATATGCACAAATATACATATGTCTATATATATACACATATATAGATATGTGTGTGTATATATATATAAAAAACATAAACATATATTTAAACACTATATCTTACAAAATGTAAATAGAGGAGGAAAAAGAACAAAGAAATTGTGGTCATCCCAGAGGTCCAGTTGTTGCAGGGCTGGAATGCAGAGCATTCAGCCCCTTCAGCCTCATGGACCTTGGAAAGCAGCAGTGAGTGTTATCTCCAAACAAGGTAACATGTAATGTTTCAGACTTTAGTAGGCACAGTAAGAATTTCTAAGATTACAAGCCACTATGGATAACTTAAGTTTATTTTCACTGTCTGTCTTATGCATTTTTCCCTGCCTTTATTCATGTTTATATCCAGTAATACAACAAAGGAAGTCTGCATTATAACTGCATACACATCAGCTTTATCTACCAAAATGTATGCAACACTTGACTCATTGACTTGCAGGTCTTTCCATAAAAATCAGCTTCTACTTATAATACATGATTATAAAGTACATTTATAGATACATACTGCAAGTCAAACCAAGTGTCCACTGCATTTTGTTCCGTAAATCTTAAATTTGTTTGCACCAAAAGTTTTTGGAAGCTTTCTGAAGATTTGAATATATTTGAAGGTTAAGAAACAGTTGAAAACAGAGGTAGCTCCCATAATCATTCATCCAAAGGCTTATACTAGTTGTCATTTTGATGATGAAATCAACATAAAAGCTCCACAAGACACTGTTTATGCACCTTGCAATGCAAGTCCCAAACTGAGGTAGTAAATCTATTTAATTTCCAAAGAAAAGTTATAATATTTCAACTTTGCAAAAGCAAGCACTATCATAAATTAATTCCATGTTGCAAGTGAAGAACAGTAACAAGCAAATGAAAAATTAAATAAATTTACAAAATACTTTAATATTTCCCCTCGTAAGTATTAGTTTGTAGTTTTCTACCAAAATAACTGGAAGGCAAGCTCAAAATGCATTCAAGTTAGGCATTCAAATACAGAGTAGGTAGACAAATTCTAAATAAAAGCCCTGTCCATTTTCATCTTCCACCAAACTGTGCGAAAATACTGAAATAAGCTTACATTCTCTAACAAAATCTCTCAGGAAGACAAGTGCATACACAGTCTCATGTTGGACCTCCTTAGAGATAAAACAAAGGACAGAAGGTAGAAAGGAGAAGCTTTGGAACATATTTGAACCACAATAATTACTTGTACATGGTTAATCAAGGATACAACTGTTGAACGAGCCTTCCTCACACTTCATAATTTGGAACAGACTTTCTGTCAAATTGATTGCCCAGTTTCAAAATTCATGAAAAAACAATTAGTCTGTATTAGTTATAGGAACAAATGTTTTGCCATACAAAAACAAAGCCATTTGTTATGCTGACAGATGGAAATTAATTTCCCCATTTTGAATGGATACTTTCTTTCTTTTCTCATTTCAGTACTCAGAGCAGGGAAAGATCCATTCTCAACAAAATGTTAGATTGAATCATTCAGAGGACAAATGGTCGTACCTCTGAGACCCTCAAAGGCCACCAGTCTGTGAATAATACGTACTCGGCCTGAAGGGACCTGTATCAAGTCCTTGCAAGATTCAAAAACAAAAATTTTCTCTTTGCAGGCGGCTTTCTTGTCTGTGGAAAAAAATTTGCTTAGGGCTAGAAACATTCTAACTTTCTCTTTTTAACTGCTCAATGAATCATCACTCAAGAAAAAATGTCCCAACAAACCTCATTCTATATTACATCAAATACCACGTATGTTTTGAGTGATCATACAAAGAAATATATTTATTTAAAACACTGCAGTAACTTTATAACTTATGATAAATGGAAGTAGTTGAGTGACATATCACTGGGTAGCATACCACTACACAAAGACTGATTTAAAGAAATTATTAGGCTATCTTCTTGGAAATATCACAGGAAAAAATAACATATATATATATACACATTATTGTTGTTATATTTTTCCCACCATAGAATAAATTAATGGATTTTTTTTACACTCCTCTTGTCTTATGGGTCCAGCAAACTGCAATAGAAATTCTGACAAGAGCAGAAGAGAGAGGACAGAAGAAAGAGAGAGGGAAAAAGACTAAAAACCTAATTACTGAAAGCTTTTAGTTTAGAAGCCTAATATCCAATTCCAAAAGGTTTTAATAAAAGTTTTAAAAAGTTAATATATCATGATTCTCTAGTTTCTTATCTTTATCCAAGAAACTAAATTATAAATAAATAAGAGTGTCTCCAGAGATTAGCTACATCCCTGGAACAGCTCCCAACTGTGCTTTCTTCAGAACTGTCCCATCAAATGTAAATTTTACAGAATGCTGAAAAAAAAAAAAAGTTTTTCTCACTTTCCAGTAGCACCTGTCTGGCTGTTAACACCATTTTACAGCCAAAAATGTAATTACATTTTGTCTTATGTCAACATAAATACCTTCCTAATGCAGGTCATCTGTTGCCCTATGTCACTGTTTGCTTTCACAGTTTATCACAGCGAGTTCCAACCACCCAGAAACTGCTTTCTGTTGTCTGAGCTGGAGCTGGGCCATGCTTTCTCAACTGTAGCCATGGCTTCAGAATTCACCACCATAAGAGCTGCAAAAAAGTTCTTTGGCTGTGCTTTGTGGAACACATTACAGTTCCTAATCTTCAAACTATCTGACTTACCCCACCTGTCTCTCTTGCTGAGTGTTGCATATGCTCTTTACTGGTGAATAGACTGCAAGATGCAGTGTTTTACTCATTACTGATGTTTTTCATCATGTATGTCCTTATAACTAAATGCTTACAAATCCTTATATTGTGATTTAATTAATAAAATTGTTAAATGCCTTCTAGCACGTATCTTAGACACTAGCACTTAAGTATTTCTCCACAGATATAATTCTAAAAGTAGTGTATTCTAAAGACAAGTATATAAATAGGCAAAAAAACCTCACTTTATCACCTGAACAGTGATCAGCTGTCGACTCTCAAAGGTGAAGTACTTTAAGTCTTAAGTTCATTCTTCATTGACAGACCATTAGCATATTATGTCCAAATTAAAGAATTCCAGGGGTAGGAAAGTTACGGTTTTCTAACACCCACCAGAGATTTGTCTGATGCTTCAGAGATGACAACCTCTTTTTAGATATTTTAAGTTCAGAAGTTTGGTTTGTCTCAAGCATTACAAAGATTCTGTTTTAATCAGGAAATATTATCAAAAGGGGAAAGTAAGAGAGCATAGCAGAATAGGATCTGCTAGAAATTATAGCAACAGGAAGAGAATTGAGAAAGAATAAAAATAAGATACAAAGCATTTGAACTCATATGAAATGAGAGAAGGATTATGGTAGGAATGTATTATGAAGCATTCAGTAAATTTATAGTAAAAATTTAAAAGTAAAAAGTGCTACTATATGTAAAGATGGATCTGAAAGACTATGAGCAGAGAAGTGGGATTACTAGAAAAAATAATACACTTTAGAGAAGATAAAATGTTTCTTAATTTCTTTGTATGAGATGAAACACTTTTTTTCATCTTTCATAACTACTTAAGAAAAACATCAAAGTGGACATAATGAGAAAACACTGAAAGTCTAAAGCGTTCGTCTTGACAGCTATTTTCCCCACTTTCCAAACCACATCACTTAAACAATATACTGATTCTTATCACTTGGTCATAGTTATCAGTTATTAAAGCTAACCAATAAAATACTACTTTCATTTCAGCTTTGATAAAATATTTTAGCAAATAAATGCTAACAACAGTGCCTGGTAATACATTTTGCTGCACTCTAAACATAATCAGGATTCTCCAGATTCAGATTTTTAACTGCTATCAAAAAACCTGGGGCAGAATTCAAATCCCAAATGCTTCTGGATGACTTCCAGTCTGGGGAGATGGGAAGACAGTACTGTTTTGTTGTGTTGTTTTACACAAGATAACATACCTATCCATATGCATGTGTGTAAACACAAGAATACTAAGCAAAATTCCATTACTAACACCAGGTGGTATCCTGCCATGGCCAGATTATTATAGACTAATCTCAGTGGGTAATTGCAGAGATCACTGTTGTGCAAATATTTCCTCACATCTTCAGCTTCTCTCATGTCTAACTTTATTCAACAACACATGTCCTCAGATGATATAAGCTTCCATCACTCTGATCTGCCTCAGTGAAATTACTCTCATAACTAAAAAGACACACATTTTTGCAAGAGCAAGTTCTTAAAACTCTGGTCTGCAAAACATTAAAAAGTGCAAAGTTTGGCAAGCAAATACTCAATGTTAAACAAATGTTGTAGCACAAAGTGGTAATTTCATAACTAATACATTATATTAAGACACCTGAGTGAAATAAACCACAAGTGTACACTATATATAATTAGTATCATGTTACAACTGGGATTTGAAAAAATAGCAACAAAATTTGGGGTAAAAAAAATCTAATTAAATTTTAAAACACTTCGTAAATTTGCTTTTGTCCTCTGTATCTCACAAAGTTCATTTACCTCTGCTTTTGTTTAAAAATATACAAATGTATTCCACATATTTTCTCCTATATACAGACATTAAAATTCAGAACAATGTTTTAAGACAGAAGAGTGGTTTAGACTTACAAAAATAAAACAAAGTCAATGCTACCAGGAAAATTAAAAGGGTAAAGTCCACCCACTTCATACCAAAATATAGTGTTCACTCCATCTAGTCAGTGTATGCTCAGAGGCACTCACGGGTACATAAGAGTGATTTCCTATACCTGAGAAGAAGTGTGCCTTGAAGCCTTTTTTTGACACAGTGTTGTCAGATCTGAACTCAACTCGCATGTTGTTGTATTGAGAGGTGATAACTTCAGGCACTTCTGTACCACAGAATTTACCGTGTAGTTTAGAATCAGAAGAAAGGCCACTGCGAATCTCCACATAATCGTATTTGCAAACCTGTGGAAAAAAAAGGAAATATTTTTTTGGCTAACCAAAAGAAAAGCATGAAGCTATTTACAAATGCAAGAACTCTGGTATATGTTGCTTAATAACAGGATAGTAATAGCTTTTTAAAAACCTTTTTCTGACTATGAAAAGATTTGTAAACGCTTACAAACATTTACTGATTTCGTGTAAGACTATTTTAAGGTCACTAAGGCAAAGCTGTACTATGCATTACATTCAAAACTGTATTTTGAAACTTAGATTAGTTTTTGATACTAATCTGTGTTTAGTATCTAAATTTCAAGATGCTTAGTAACAATTCAATTTAATCTAAAAAGTAAAAATTCCAGTGACATTAGACTAAAATCTAGAAACATTCACCCTAGAAATTACACCTATCTTTGCACTACACACCAGATATGCAGAACCTACAAATCTTCTGTCGTTTGCCTCTCATAGAATTTTTTAAAAAATATTTTCAATTAGAAACTTACAAGATAGGCTTTTTACCATAATGTATGTAAGACACACTCTTTTATTTAAAAAATATAAATACGCACTACTAAAATTATACAACTTTCTTTAACAGTAGCATAGCTATATTTTGGAGGGCTAATGAAAGACATTTTCATTAAAAGGTTAAAAATAAAATGAAGTAAAATAATGCAATAAAAAAGCCTTATGCAAGGCCTGCTACTCATGATAATACTTTCAATTCATAATCCCTTGGTCAACCCAAAGCCCTCCACCCAAAAACTTCTAAGCTTCTTAGGCTCAACTATCAATCCTTTAATCAAAAATGTCCCAGTTGTCTGCAATTAATAGCTTAAGACAAAACAGTGGCCAGGAGCTTAGATTGCCCATTAAATCCAAGTTGTATTTGATAAATTGCAATTTCTAGTCAAAAAAGAAATGTCAGGGGAGCTGAAGGAGAACTGTAGAAAGGGATGTTTTGGCCTTTTTTGCTCTCTCTCCCTATGAATTATTAAATGATTGTCAACATTTCAATGTTTTTTAATATAATACATTTTAGATGTACATTAAATTTTCATTGTTACCGGAAAAATTTTCATATGTTGCAGAGTTGGAAAGTGACTATTTCAGTTGAAACTACTTTTATACAATATAAAGAACACAATTTTTAAAACTTGAGTTACTGCCACATGCTGATTAATATTAATTTTAAGATAAATTCATGTCAATGCACATGATTTTTAAACATAGCTAATGTTAATAAATCTCAGCAATTGGAGCAATACATCAGTGGTGAGTTTTGATGGTTTCATAGCTTTAGATTTAGAATGAAATGCAATTTCAGATAAGTCTAACTTCCTTCATAATACACTATATTTAAAAATAGTTTTACAAGTTAAATATAAAATTAAAATTATAAAATGTAAATATAAAATATTAACATTTTAATATTGGAAAAGACATCTTAAACTTGGTCCTAAATGGAGCTTCTATAAAAAAAAAAAAGAGAGCATTTGCTAAATGTGTACATTTTATGTCTGCACACAGGCAATATATTAGAATTTTCCAGATATTATATGGGTTTCTTCTGATTTTCACAGGTATCATTCTTAATACTATTATTTAATAATATAAAGCTGAAGCTGATTTAGCATAGGAGAGGATGAAACCAAAGTTATAAATAGTGAAAAACATTATGTATATATTTCTCATACCTGCTGAAGTCATATGTCTTGCGTGAACTTAGAAAACTGATTTAACTTCATTATACCCCTCAGGTGTCTTTGTTGCAAATCTAGCTTAAGTACCAAGAAAGTGCAGGGGAAATGTTTTATGGTTTGTTCAAATGGTAATCTAATTTTATTTCTTTGGGATTTTAAATATTTTGCTATACCTTTTGCAGTTATTATAAACCTTTAAAAGTAGGAATTTCACAGACTTCAGAACTCACCTCAAATCATTAAAAAAAAAAAAATTAAAAAAGCCATGGCTGGGTTGTTTCTTAGTTATAAATTACACTCCAGCTTTTGCCACTTCATCATATCAAATATGTTGCTACAAATTTTTAGTCAGAAATAAAGTCATGGGATTTGAGTTCTTAATGCCACATAAAGAATATCCAGATAAAATTGATAACCACAGCACATTACGGCCGGAGTCTAGCAAAGGAACTCAATGATGTGACAGAGTGGTGCCTAGAAAGCAGAACAGAGGCTGAAAAGTTGATGCTGAAATCCATATTTTACCAATTCACACTCAAAAAACCACTGCAACCCCCACCACTTTGTAGGGAGCAGCCCTTACCACGTGGAGGGGTCTGCTCTGCCCCTTTCTCCCACCTGTGGACCAGATCCCCCATGCCTCTGGGGGCTGCCCAGCTCAAACACTACTGCTGTACTATTGTGCTTTATTTCTAGTACTGATCTTTTTAAAATATTCCCCCTCACTTCCTTGAGATACTTGTAAGTGATTTAAATGCTTCCTCGCTCCGTCACTAACCAGAGCTTATGTGTATTCTCTGTAGTCATAGTCTATAAATATGATTTGGTTTCTTGAGATTTTCTTCTCTTGAATTCTTTCCAGTATGCCTCAGCCATTTACTCTGTTTTACTTTGTTGATAAAAAAGTCAGTTGAGACTCAGCAGAGAACATTTATTTTCTATTTCTTGTAATATATATATATACATTTAGATGATATGTAAAAGAGAGCTATTCTCTCCATATTTGCTTTGAAAGAATCCAGAAACAGTCCCAAAACGAAAACAAGGATACCTATGGTTGTTGTCAGCATATGAACATTCAACCAAGGTTTTATAAGACAATATCTATTTTTGAACACTTGTGACACTGTTTAGCCTGTAACAGATTGTGCAGCTCTTTGTTCACAATTACTTACTTCATTCCCTTCTAACTCAAAAAACTCAAACTTCATTGAAATTCGGTATTGCGTCGGGGCAACCACCTGCCACACACAGTTTTTGTTTGGAGGATACTCTTTGGGCCACCCTGGTGTGGTTATAGTCCCATTTAGCTTTGTCAGGAGTCCTCCGCAGGCAGCTGTAAAATTAAAAGGGAGAGCATCGTTTCTTGACTGAAACTGTGTTTTACCATAAACAGAAACACACTGAGAAGATTCAGGCCTCTCATTACTTATACTACTGTAATGCTCAGACAGAGTAATCAGAATCTTGTTTTATCATGCTTGATGCAAACAAAGAGAAAGAGACAGCTGCTATCTTGAACAGCTTGCAGGTTTGCTGACCGAGATAAGTTTCAGGACTACACAAGGCGTTATCATATTCATTCTTTTCCCTTCCCTCCAGAGACTCTGGTTATTCTCTCACAGCCTTTCCCATGCAAGTTCTCTGACCTCACTGCCCTCCCCAGGACCTTGACCACCCCTCTTCTGACAGATGGAGTACTTAAGATGCACTTTGCATTTCCCCAGTTTCTCTCCTTGATTGTTGACCCAGAATCAGCCATACCTGTCTGAGCTCATATAGCTGTATATGCCTTCCATAACCTACTACATAGGGTCACTTCTTTGGGATAGCAGTCACGTATGCTTCAGTCACAATTACTTTGCTGAAGTATGGGTGTTCAATTAATAGATGAAACACTTATTATTTCCAAACATATGCTGAACAACAACATCCAACAAAACAATACTGTACTACATTTGTGAATGCAGTTCAAACAGCAAAGGGCAAACACGAAAATCTTTTCCATCTGTGGAAAAAAAAAATTAAAAAAAGGAAAGTAATGGGATTTGCAGGGGTTCTCAATCGCATTCTGCTCCACTGATATAATTCCAGCACTGTGACAGCACTAGAAATCATTCACGAATCTCTTCCTAATAAGCTGGGGGGGGCAAGCTCCACCTTCTTGCAACTGCACTGTTCTAATACCAAATGCTTTAAAAACTGACTGTTCCTGTCTAGCTGACGGTCTTGCACACTGCATTTCCTTCATCTAACACACCTGAGTGAACTCTCCAGTTTTTGTGTCAGGGCACACTTGGCAAACCCATACACATACCAGTCTTCCTCCTGGCACCTGGCTTTCCATGCAGAGGACTTCTTGGTATACACGTAAAGGTAGTCTGCCCAGGATGGAGGGACTAACACCCTGGGTCACACATCATTGTGTGAAAACATGCTGGTCACAGGTTTAGATGCACTCAGAAGACACAAGTTGTAACCCCATATGATCCAGTCTGTGTCGGAGTAACAACTGACCGCTAGTTTTCAGTTTCAGCTTTTCAGTATCACTCCATTGTTCCTTGAGGCAATGATGGAAAATGTGGAAATACTGACCACCACCACCACCACCACCACCCCCTCCTCCCTGCTTAAAGGCTTCTAATATGCTGCCAGCAGGGGAGATTTGGACTAGATCAGCATGAAGCAATTTTCTGTGCATGTCAAAACTGCAGTTAAGCATTGGGCAGAGTTTCTGAGTTAGAGGCTTCTACTTTGGCATCATATGTGAATTAGTACAGCTAGACCACCCTTTAAATTCCCAAACCATAACTAGGGTATAATGCTCAGTGTGCTTACACAGTTATTTTAATTTAGCAGTCCCAAGTAGCATCTAAATACAGCAAGGGCTACCTTGTGTGGAACAAACACATTTATACTTTTAGGGATAGCTTAAGGGTTTTACTCCATGCTGCACTGTACTACTTCAAACAACTCCTCTTTTTGCCATAGTTGTCTTTCTGTTTGAGTGCCAAGGAGGTATTCCTTCTCTATTTTTCAGAGGCAGAGGAAAGAGTTTTCTGAAAGACTGGTAATCTTCCCTGATATTCTGACTCAGTTTAGCAGGCAGACTAAACCAAATTCCTTACATAAATTTGAGCTGACGATCAAAGGCCCAGAGATCAAACCTGTCTTCATGGCCCACATTAGATTAAGCTTACTTTCTGCACACTGCCTAATATGCAGACATATTAATACAATAGGCTTTTTGAAATAAACTGTTTCTGCAGTGCACTTATTATTAAAGTTGAGGGAGGAAAAGAAACGCCAACCAAAAAGTCAACTACCTTGATGAGATTTACAGTCTCTCATGCCAGTAGTCTAGGACTATCACCACCTCATACATACACAAAATAAACAAGCAAAAAACCCAAACCCACAGAATCAAAAGCAAAAGAAGAAAAACTGCAAAGAAACTAAGCAAAACTACCCCAAATTCTGACAAATAATAAATTAAAGGCAGGGAACTGAAAAAAAATAGAGACACCAGTGTATCACATCTGAAGAAAACCATAACACTGAGCACTTCAAATTTCAAACTATCTTCAATACTGAAACAAATAGATGTATTGAGATAAGAATAATTTGTGCTATCTCTGAATTTATTGATGTTTATCAATAAAAATCAGAAAATAATTGGTGTTTAATAATCAAGAACTTTTGCTTATTTCCTTTGATATGAAATATGTATAGAATGCAAAAGCTTCTCTCATGTTCAATCTCATGTTTAGATAGATTTCCATTTATCAGGTTTTTATTTCTCCAAATGATTATTTAAACATGCTTTGCTCACCCTGAAATGGAGAATTTGTTTCCAGCAAGTGTAGTCCACAATCTGACTGGGAGCAGCAAGAATTTCTTTGAGCTTTTAAAGATCCTGCTGTTCAAACCAGCCACCTTCCCATTCACATCCCAGACAGAGGCAGTCAGAGGGATCATCAAATATCCCAATTCTCAGACAGTGGCACATTGCTCTGCGGATAACTGTCTCCTTACCCATGGTTAGAAACATTGCTTTAATGAGTTTGAATAATGTAGTAAGTGGTTTGGGAAGGTACAAAGTCCTGCTTTGCATCGTTCCCAATCACAGAATCACAGAATGTTAGGAGTTGGAAGGGACCTCGAAAGATCATCCAGTCCAAACCCCCTGCCAGAGCAGGATCACCTAGACTAGGTCGCACAGGAACATGTCCAGGCGGGTATTGAATGTCTCCACAACCTCTCTGGGCAGCCTGTTCCAGTGCTCTGTCACCCTCACAGCATAAAAATTTTTCCTTATGTTTACATGGAACCTCCTATGCTCCAGCTTGCACCCACTGCCCCTTGTCCTATCATTTGACATCAGTGAGAAGAGCCTGAAAAATCAACTAACTGCAAAACCTGTGAAGCTAAATTAGTGACAGACATCAGATGAAGATGACTGCTGTGTACAGACATCACCCAGGCACCACTACTTATAAGGGAGCACTGGTTTTCCAGGCTGGGTTCTACAGATCTCACACTACTAGGACAGAGCATACACAAGGTGTGGTGTTTCATTCAAGCGATGGCAGTCTGTGAGCTTTAAGAGCCCATAACATGCACTGTACCTTCACAACTCTTTTTGTCAGGACCAAGTTCATAGCCAGGATCACAGGCGCACTGGTAACTGCCCAGAGTATTTACACAGCGCTGCTCACAGCCACCATTGTCAGGTTTGGCACATTCATCTTCCTCTGCCAAGACAGGGAAGAATGCAAAAATGTGTTAGTTACCTTCCTCAGCTGTAATTGCTGGATCAATATTAACCCAGAAAGCTGTATGCATGCCATTACAAGATGCACTACATAACACACTGTGGTTGCTGACTAAAGCATTTTCAAATGCTAAGGAGACCTGCAACGGAGAAAATAAAAATGTGTCCTTTGTGGCATTTGGGTGGGGTTTTTTACAACAATACCTACTGACAGCTGCAGACCTAATTTATAAGCACTTTGTGAGCAGTATACAATAATTCAGGCAATTGTACTTTAAATGCTGTATAAAGTATTGAAAGAAAGATTGAAAATCTACAGCAGGGTCACTTGAAGGGCACTTCATCTCCCACAGAATCAATTTGTACATTATCCCGAATTCATACTCAAAACCAGATTAACAGAATCCTCAAATCCCAGGTTTTCATTCTACTGATATTAAAGGGAACAAGATGCATTAGAGATGGGGGAGGAGAAAGGAATAATGTATTATCTCTACTAGATCTGAAGTATACCCACAAGACTCATTGTTAAAATATTCCTCAGATGTTGAATTATTGTTTCCTTATGCCAGGACACGTTTTTTCTTTGGAATAAAACAAGGCTCCCATTCTCATGTCTACAGCATTCAACATTATAATTGTCGACAGTGAAAACTAACAGGGTAAAAGAAGCCTCAGTTTGTGGCTTTTCAACAGAGCAAAAAGGTTCTACTGGTGGTGTGACCTGTATTTCGCGCGTCACCATGGCCACACCACTGCTAGTGGCTTTTCTGGTGGCATGGGTAGCCCAGGGTAGGAATTATACACTCCATATGCACCAACTGCAGGTATAGCTGCAACTGTATGATGCACACACACACCTCCCAGAACTGGAGGCAGACTGTGAGGCTGTTGGTCACTGTATGATTTCTCATTTGCATATTTTTTTCATGGTCACAGAAAGCAATAAATTGATAGAGCTGCCTAATTCAGCAGTGGGATTAGGAAAAAACCCAACAACATTTACACAAAAGAATAAAAATTAACATAAACTACCAAGTTGTCCCTATTGTGATTATACTATTTAACTTCATATGTGATCACGCAATATGTCCAAAAACCCCATTTTTTACAAGATAAGATATGTTTCAAAGGTGATTCAAAAGTAAGATGCTTATTCGAAACTGAAGAGTAGAAAGTTGCACTGAATATATTTCTTCATTCTTTGGGCATATTTTACAAGGATGTAGAAATACCATAACTGTTTTGATTTGATAAAATTGCATGCCCAGGTTAAAAAAAGTGAAATATTGGAGACAGTACAGACCTGATTTTAGAAAAAATAGGTTGAAAATATTTTTCATATCCTACCCTATTTTTTCCAGTACAAGAACAAGTGATAAGCAGTTCACAGCTCCCAAAATATGCTTTAACTTTTACCTTTAAAAAAGTTAGCTGCAAATCCTGCTTTGTTAACAGTTCCATCAGAAACAAACTTCATCCACAGGGTATTAGAGGTAGATCTAATGTCTTCTGGCTTGTCGTAGCCACAAAAGTGACCAATTAAAGGACTGTTTTCATTTGTTCCATCTCGAATTTCCAAGTAGTCGTATGCACAGTTATCATGTCTTTCAATCTGTAAAAAATTATTTTTAAAGTGATCTATTTGAACTTGACCATAAATACCAAATATCAATCAGCTAATAAACAAAATAGAAATTTTTCAAAGTTAATTTAGGGTTCTCTGTTTAAGATTCAAACACTAGAATAATGAGGAAAAGAACAAGCATCACTGGACTGTTTTTAACTACACTTGTTTTCTACAAGAAGAAATAATGTTGAGACTGTTACACAGGACACAACAGTCTAATTGAAAAAGAAGTAACTAAAAAAAGACACATTCACCTCTAAGCTTCCCAAAGTTCTGACAAATTCTGACTTTAAGTTCAAATGATGTCCTCTTTTCTCATGTACACTCAAATATACAAGATTAATGGTTCAACAACTAATCAAGTCAGAAATATTAATTGGTTTTGAAATACTGAAAAGCTAATTTTTTCTTAACATGCATAAGATCAAATTGTGCTATTTCAGGTGATAATCAGTATTTTATTTTTTTCCTTTATCTTCAACACAGTGCAAAATTTAGCATTTGTCACTACCCACTGACGTTGCAGTGTAACTATAAAAAAATAACAATGCAGTGTTTGAGGCATCTGTAGAATTAGATCCAAACATACTTGTAAAATTGTGATCTCTTAAGCAGCCAACAGATGACAAAAAACATCATTACTTTTCTGCAGCTGATATGTTTGGTTTCTGTTCCATGATTCCTTATTTCAGGTGTCTTTTGACTTTCTGGATCAGTGGGTGAATCTTTGCTATACTGATGAGAAACCTACTGAAACCAGAACAACTGAAAATGTGCCTCTCATTTAAACACCTTGCCAGATGACATCCAAACGTAGACTAGCATGTGAGTGGACTTGTGTGCCACTTCTGCTTGGGTAGAAAGCAAGTCTTGTGCTCTTTGCATAATAGTATTTGCAGAGTCAGTGAGAGTGGGAATTGCACCAAAGGAGAAAGCAGTAACAGTCCAAATATGATCCTATCTGGACCCTAGATAATTTATGATGCCTGTCTATTGAGAGAGTATCTTTCCCAGCAGAATTAAAAACCCTCTTGATCTGGGTCATTTTACTGCAGGATTACTTCACATTACTCAAGTAATATAGCATCTTGGCTATAAAAGAATTAACTAAATCCAAGCATTCAAAAACAAATCCTCTAAGAAAATTACTACTTAACTAAGCAGCTGAATCAGCTGGGGGTGAGGGGGTGGGAAAGGACCACAGACAGAGAGAAGGGGTTGGAGAAGCCTAAAATTTAATTTAGCACATCCAAATTCTGTTTAAATGACAAAGAAGTCAAAACCAAACAAAACCCAGAAAAATCCACATTTTATCTCTGGACAGAATTTTTCTTGCACGTATACTGCACAGTTAGTACAAGTGGCTGCTGATACTCCGCTCTGATTGTGTTTTATGACCAACACTAAGCTCAGTAACCACTACAGACTAAGGAGCTTTCATTTAGCACATTAGGATTTCTGCTTCTTTTACGCAAGAGGGAAAATTGCTGGAAGGGACTGTTTGATTTTATTTCATTTTAATGGCATCAAAATATGGCACTTATACACAAAATTTGTCTGTTTTCTTCCCAACTTTCCAATTCTTCAAGCATTTACATACATAAATTTTCTCCCATTCACTTTTCTGGCACAATCCATATTGCCTTTTCCTTCGATTTCTTAGCTCTGCTTTGGGTCAGAGTTTGGGAAATGAGTGAGAAAAGTCAAGAAGATCTGAGATGCAACCATCCATCGCTGACTTCAATGGCAATTGTACGTTTGCAACTAATGCAGTCAGGCACGTGTCTTCCTGAGCACTGATAAATCTTTGACGATGTAATACTGATTCCAAATTTTCATTAATTGAAATAATAAATTTTAAACACATGACATTATATTCCAATTGGAAACAAAGTCTGTCTTACTATCTCAGTAAAAATCATATTGCACTCTGATGCAGAAAGAAGTGACCTGATCCAAAGCCCACTAATATCAATGAAGGAATAGTGTATTTTCCTCACATATGCCTGTGGTCATTTCGCTACCCAAGATTTTTAATTAACATCTGTCTTCTTCCATGCTTCCATGTTCTCTGCGGCAATATGGAAAATCTGATTTTTCACAGGCCAAGTGCAGCTCCAAGTTACATGTACCAAATTCCCACTGAGTTGAATTGTTAGTTTCTTTTCTGAGAATCACTCTATTTTTGGCAGAAGACAACAACTAAAATACATTTTGTATAGCAGTAAGTAGTTAAACTTCCTAAGACTGTAAAAATCAACCAACTGACAAAGTGCTATTGATTTTCAATAAAACAATTTGAAAGGTGGCCATTCTACCATATTCATTTACTTTTAGTGTACTGCTACTACAGGTCAGGCCATTATTATTATCAATATTATTATATTAAGGGATTAAATTGTTACATCTATATATAAACGAAAAGATAAGCATTGTGTTTTTGAGAAATGATAACTGGTTTTAAGACAGTATAAAATGTGCTTTGCTTATCTGTACCTCAGGTTTTAAGATGCCGTAGTACTGTCATCTGGGAACACTGCCATACAACGATCTACTATACTTACAGTAGTCTCTTATTCTTCCTACTACAAGGGCAGAAAATCTCCTCAAGCTAATGAAAGGACTCCCAGTGATTTTAGTTGTAACTGGACTGATCCTGTAAACCTTATTTACTGGAGCATTCAAATTTCACAAGATTGATATTAAATGTGGATTAGAAGAAATATTCAAAATGTTGGCAAAAGCAAAAAATCATAAATAAACAGGTTTTACAGAAAAATGCATTGCCTATAGGAGAAGGAAAGACACTGTTGGCTCCTGAAGGCCTTAAAGGAAATCCAGAATTTGAACGGCATTAGAGAACTAATTTGACAAAATCCCAGAAAAATTCCTAAGACAGGAGCATAACTACGAGAAAACAATAAGAAATCTCATGGTGAAATGCGAAGCCAGATATGTTCTCAACATTCATTCCCAAAAGAAAAGAAAATTCCATGTACATCGATTCAGTTTTGGAAAAAAATAATTACTTTAGACTAAAATACACTTGGTTAAAAATTCCAGACTACTTTTGTAGCACTCCATCAACAGAAAAAAAATATATATATTAAATATATATT